AGATAAACTCAATGCTGAGTTCAACTCTTCTTCACCTAACACACTCTCCTTGCCCCTTCTCCTACCATTACTGATTCCGTAAATGTCCACAATGCGTTCACAATACTAAAGCCAAGCAAGACTAGTGGACCGGATATTCTATCAGTAGCCGCTCTGAAAGATGCGCCTCCAACAGATTTCTTATCAGTGTTTAGCGACTGTTACCATTCCCGATATATAAAAATCAGCCATAATGACACCAGTGCCTACAAAAAGATCTCAGAAATGTCGGTCACTTGCGTGCACGTCCGTGCTTCTAAAGGTGCTGGAAAAACTACTGATACTCCGACTTTTCGCAGGCAATCATACTGATGATTTCAAACAGTTTGCATATTAACCAAGGTGCTCTAAATTGGATGCCGTTTCTTATCTGGCGCATTCCATTGCTTTAGCGTTAGCTTATAGATCAAAGCGGCCGGTGGCCAAGTGGTCTGCAAGTCTGGTTTGCAATCATGAGGTCACCGGTTCGAGTCCGCATAAGGGCAGGCGTCCTCGCGGCATACTCAGCCTACGCGCGACTGATGGTGGTCGCGCGACAGCGAAGCGCCCTTATGGCGCATAATTGATGATTCATTTTCAATAGATCCAAGAACGTATGCCTACACCAACGCATTTGGGAGCCTCGACACACGATTATCGCTCAACCTTTTGTCCGAAAATGGTGACCCCCTGTGGATGTAGTCTGTTGCGTGGTTACTTCACCTAGCTATGCGATAGAAAGTCTTCTGTACTCCCAGCAAATTGTGATCCTTTTTCATGGAGCCATCATATCCCCCTTCCTGTTCTTCGCTTACGTCGAATGTCTGTATTCTGTCAAAATTCGGGCTGTAAATATGCTGGTGACATCGTTCTGTTTTGAATAACCCCAACCATCGAGGACTTTTGAACTTCCAACAAGGGTTAGACGAACTAGTGACTTGGAGTTGGCACGTTTGCTTTCCAACCATAAGGTCACCGGTTCGAATCCGCGTAGGGGTGGGCGTCCTCGCGGTATACTCAGCCCGCGCGCGACTGGTGGTGGTCGCGCGGCAGCGAAGCGCCGTTACGGCGTATAAGCTGACACATTATTATTTATTAGTCGACCTCTGAACGGTTGTTCAAGAGACAGTCAAAGTGTTTTCGCCAGATCTGCATTATGTATGCAGTCTGTGTGCAGGTAGTGCGTGAACTACCATTGATCAGCGTCCTCAGCGGCTTCAATCTCGGTCCATACCCCGCCTTCAAGGAGTCAAAGAATTCCTTGTGTTGGCGGCGTTTGGCGTAGCATTCCATCTGTTTCGCCTTCTCCGTCCACCGTGCATTTTTTATGCGACGGAGCTCCCGGGTCAGTCGCCGTCGAAGTTTGCGAAACTGATTACTCTTCCCCAAGTCACTGTGGTCTGCAACATGTGCAGCAAATGCTACATTCTTCTCCGACACCAATGCGCCAGTCGTCGCATTGTTGTCATCAAACCAATCAGGTGGCTTACAGTTTGCGCGCCCGATAGTCTTCTCGGCAGCAGCTGTCACCTGTTCGCAAATGTGGGGGCACAGGTCGCCCACTGTGGCTGTGCCTTCCACATCACACAAGCGTGCAGCCGTCGCCTTCTCCAGCTCAGTACGTTCGCCACAGTACCGAGGAAGAGAATGTTAAATTTACGTCGATTCACGGCGGGATTGCAATACATAGATTTACGAAAATACATGTACAGTTTGGTCTTCACCAATTTGTGATCAGTGCTACACTCAGCTCCACGCAGTACACGTGTCATGCGCACTTCACGCATATCACACTGACGTACGATGACATAGTCGAGCAGGTGAGCGTGACCACTCCGTGGGTGCGTCCAGGTTACTATATCACTCGCCCTCAGTGCAAACCAAGTGTTCGTGATCGTCAGGCCGTGAGTGGCACACAGTGAGAGCAGCCTGTCACCGTTCGCATTCGCTGAACCGATGCCATGCGAACCGATACCATCTGTCCACACCGATGCAGCACGCCCAACGTGCGCGTTGAAATCACCCAGCAGAAATAGTCGGTCGCTCCTCGGCACAGACCGTATCACGGAAGATAGCTGAGTGTTGGATTGATCACGCGTGTCATCAGGATAACACATGGTCAGACCGTACATGCTTATAAAAGTGGCAAACTTATCAGTTCCGGGTCGTAGGCGAACAGTCATCAGTCGCGCGCTGATGCCCGTTGTTTCACCCACCAGCTGGCCATGGAGGCGATCGGATATTGCAAATCCGACCCCATGATCACGTGGTGCTGAGGCGGCGTTGCCCACTCAGTAGAATGTGTAGCCAGCACCTGCTTCATGCAACTTTCCTTGCTCAGCGGGCCGAGTTTCACTGAGCCCCGCAATATTGATGTTGTAGCGCGCCAGTTCCATCGCGACCATTGCAGTGCGTCGCTCCGGACGCTCGCAGTGGGGAGCAGATCCAGCTCGGGAATGTGATTGCAGGGACGAATTTGGATCTGCTTGACGGCCGTCACACGCAACCTTGGAGGTACTGGAACGGTTTATATATGTTTTGCAACCGTAGTAGGATACGCACCTGCGACTACGGCCAGACGCAGATGGGTTTTGGCGGGTTTGCACCAATTTGACCAGGGGCTGCTTGGCTTGTGGCGGGCAGTAGCAAACCATTGAACACTCGGAGATGCCTTGCCACCGTCAGAAACAATGCGTGGCGCTCGTGCTCCACGCCAATCGAGCTGTGAGCTTATAACCCGTAGACATGTTTTCCCCCATGGCTAAATTTTACGGGAAGGGGGCCATCGACCACTTCCTAACTTCCGAAGGGCATGGACTAGGATATTGGCAGGGTACCCACTCCTGACAAGAGAACGACTACAGTCCTCAGCCAAAGCCTTCGATTACATGAGCAACCGAGAGGCAGCGGGTCTAGCACATGGTCAGTTCACTGACTCATGCGGATTGGTGTCCTGGATTTTAGCAGGGAGAAGGGCGAAACCCAACTCCCACCCAGCGGTCGCCACGAGGAGGCGCCCAAGACATGAGCAAATGGCACAATAGTAGCAGCAGTGGGTAGACCATCTGTCAGGATCTAGCCACCACCAGCCTCAGCGCACCATAGGCTCTCCCGCCTATATATATATATATATATATATATATATATATATATATATATATATATATATAAACACTTGACCAATAAACAATTGGCAGAGTGCCGCAACATATGAGCGACAACAACAAATAGGAGGAAAAGAGACAGGAAAGGTTAGGTGGGTTTATGTGTTGCATGGGCAGTGTACTTCCCGGTTGTCCAGGCCGAGGAAGAGGGCTGACTTAATAGGGCCTACCCGAGCCTATGGCTTTAAAGGTCTAACTTGCAAGGCAGTGGGGAGACAGCATCATTAGGTGTACCAAATGTCATATTTTGCTTACGGAGCAGGAAAAGCGGGCAGCTTTCACTCGCGCAAATAGTCCCCTGTCTTTGGGCAACAGTCGCATGTAGCTGGTTGGCATTATCAAGGTTTGTATGCTACAAACTTTTACTATAGCGTTTCTTGCTAAGTTGCTTCATTTCAACGGTAATGCCGATATGTGCGCATTGTCTTGGCAAATTTTTTCAACGAATCAGCTGAGTCAGACAGTCTCAACGATTTTGAAAATGTTTTAGGCAAGCAATTTGTCAAGATTTTATTACAAAACGGCAGCGTCTAATTTACAGGCCCCGCCTCTTACACATAGATACAGACTGTTGGGCACGGTGTCACTATGCGACGAGTGCTGTTTCCAAGTTGGTGTATGTGAAGAATACACAAACCCACAGGCAAAGCAAACCTTTTATCATCTGTCACAGACTCAATGCTACCGTTTGTGGGGGCGTAGACAACAGTGACAAACAGACACCTGCATAAGTCGGTTTTGAGTACCATCGAACTGCCCAACTATTGTTGCTTTTATAATTAGCCTCAATTTATCATGAAGAACAACTTTTGTCCACCGCAACGCAAATATATCCATCATCTTATGATCCGTAACTATCATGAGATAAGCACGTGCATTTCTTGAATTTCAAGTTCTGGTTCCTCTCATCTTGATAAACTCGACCCGGTTCTTTTACCTCATGTGTTCGCAATAACGCGGAATATCCGTAGCTTGGGTTGGGGGTTTATTTTTTCCCCGTACTGCGCAATTGGGTTGCAGTACATGAGCTTTAGTTACTGCTAACAAGCTGTTCGCTGCTCCGCACTGAAGGTGCCACTTCGGTCGGTGGTAAAACATCTGTAACCACGTTGCCCAGCTCAGCGAGTACATCAACACCTCAAATGCCTCATATGTTTGTTTATCACCGGACTTTGCTACTTGTTGCGAATACCAGCACTCCGACTTTCGCGTCGTGCGTTATTTGCGCGACTGGCGGATGGATGGAAGAGGCGGGGAGGCCAAGCGATATCTTGGTCAAGTGATATGACGACCCTCCTTTTGAACTTGGCGTCAGGGTGTCTCGACTGCTGGACTGGAGTCCGGACACGTTTGCTTGGAGACACTTGTTGATATGGCGAAAAGCCAATCTCAGTAGCGTTTTTGTGTGTGATTCTTTGTCCCTCTCCCTCCCACTTATCTTCCCTATCAAACCACGTTCTCACACGTGATGTTTAATGCGGCACTAAACACCGTATTACGTTTTTGCTTTTTTATTGTATTCTGTAATGTTTTGTATTTCGTTTTTTGATGTCCTCTCTTTTCTGTATTTCTTGTGTTCGGTGTTGTTACTCGCGATCGGCGAATATCGCCCTGTCTAACCGACCAACTACGCAGTAGAATTCTCGAACGTCTCACTTGCCAATAGTTGATGTACATGATTCATATACCCCTATCTTCTTGTCAATGAAAACTTCCATCGTTTTTATCTCCTGCGCAACCTTTAGCACTTATGTGTCAGGATTCTGGTGCTTCGCTATTCTTCCACTTAAATTTTTTTCATTCATCCTTCGATAACAGGAAGCTCTATAAGTTGGTTCTAACGAAAAATTATGAAGAGCTGCGTTGCGGAAGTCTAATGAACAGTCTGGTTCATCTGCAAAAGGTGTGCAACCATCCTTACTTATTACCCGTTGGAGATGCAATCGCCCCACGGGTGGTTTCGGACACGGCGGACGCTAGTTATGAACCTAGGGCTTTGGTGCAAGTCAGTGGCAAGATGATCGTTTTAATGGAGATGCTACGAGGTCTACGTGAACGAGGGCATCGTGTATTGGTCTACTCACGCATGACCACCATGTTGGACATTTTGGAAGAGGCCCTAACTAATGAGGGGTGGGTCATCTTACTTGACATTCTTGGTCAATGCCATCATTTTACTTATGCGTCCTCGCACGTTCGCACCGATTTTAATCCTTTGAAGTGTTGCTTTTCTCTATGAACTACGTGATTCGGCTTTTCACGTTCCTTCACTAATCAAGGTGACACTTATGCTTCTCTGGTGTTTATTACTCGCCAGATTATTCCGGAGGTCGGATTTCTGATACATATATATATATATATATTCCAAGCATTAGTAATCACTTTTCATCCGGATTGGCTGTCCGTTGTGTTCAATAATGCTCGCGCGATTATCCAGAACCGTAGCGAGGTGGATAATTGTTATTCTCTTGCTTACCTGGTCGTATTGGCCGTGGGACACGGTAACTGGCTGTCTTGTTCATTGTCCAACCACTTTGTCTTGTTGCCTCAAGCGTTGGTTTCCGGCTCACGCGGTCACTTTCCGGAGGATTTCATCTCTATGTCTTCAACCGAGTCACCGAGCTCGACGAGCAGATCAGCACCCCAACTACTATCGCGCACTAGCAGCATTCTCGATTTTTCCTTACTTTGCTTATGTTTTCTCGAAACCTTCATTCATCTTAAAGTTTAGACCTTACTTCTAATATCATATCTCCTCTGGGGTTCTCGTTCTGAATTATTCGCCCAAAGCCCCGCTGAATGGGAATACTTAGCCATGTCTGAACTTGCCTTGGACACCTGTGCGGTTTTATTGCTCTCAGTTATCTGGAACTACTTCAAGCTTTTCCACTTACGCTCGTTAGAAACACACGCTTCATCAACATGCCAATCTTGTGACGGGTGCGTCTCAGCGTTGCATTCAAATTTGGCTTGAGTGACAATTTGCATACGATTTTACTACTTTTCCGTTAAGCAACTGCAGACCTGTCTTGTAAGTGCAGCGTATCTGCTTTCTCTGATTCGCATCTCCATGATAATGGAGGTTGTCAGCAATAATTAGCTAAGAAGTGGAACGGCAGGAACAGCCGGAGCCGGATTGATTGAGATTGTAAACTACCTCGTCATCGCCTGATGAATCGTTTGGTATGTAGAAATGAGTGATGCAATCGGTCACTCGATCCCCTCTTCTTTCATAAGATTAGCAGCATCTGCAGTATGTTACCTGTAGCACCTATCTTTCTTTGGCTTAACCTGCGCTCACCGTATTCCCGTTACGTTCCCCTTCTAGTATGGGCTCAATGCGCGCACTTCTATGCCTACTGATCGCCTGCCTCGACATTTGCCCCTTACCGATGTCGCTCCATGTTATAACAGGTTCGCGGTGTGGAAAAATTACCATCAGACTTGATCAAGTTGACACGCCGTCTTCTTGGATTAGACACGGATACCGGCAGCATTAACGGCTAGAAGTCCCATGCTATATAGCATAGTTGATCGTTCTATGGCTACGTTGCACTGGCAGAATTCTTTTAACTGTTATCCTCTTTGCCATGTTTCAATGAAACTCCTCAACCTAACTAGAACTTGAACCTCCTGTTGCCTGGATAAATTACACCCAATGAACGAAATGAGAAAAACACTGGCGCACGGACCGCACGAGTCAAAATCTTTACAAGAACTGGCCACACACAGAACGGGCGCGGACTTATTGATTCAGCTGGCAGTCGATCAGTTGATTTTCTTTTAATCAGGGAAAAATTGTACCTTGTGGCACCGGCGCGTGGTTGGAGAGAGAAGAGAGAGCACTAACACAGTGGCACATGCCCACCACATTGAACAGTCTTTGACCTTTTGATTTTTGTCTCACCTTTTTTGTTTTCTCCTTCACTTCGCCTTCGTTAGCCTTTATTGTCATAGCAATACGCATGATGAAAATGAACCCAACCCCATTTTGGCTCGTATAAACGATATTAACTGCATTATGTTTACTGGTTCTCCATGAAATTTGCAGTGTGGTCCTTAGTTACGTTGTTTGCCTACTGTGTTGCTTATTAAATTACTTCTACCTGGCGTTCAGTCGCTTCCTCGAGTTCTAAGTGCTCGTTTAAAATAAAAACTAAATCCAGTTTTCAGAGACCTTGTATTTTGTCTATCTTATTCGCCTTACGTAGCCGTCATCAAACTATTCCTGTCTATCTACATCGTGTTTTCTAACCTTTTCTTTCTCAGCCTTCCCCTTTTTTGTCATTTACCAATTTGTTTCCCACCTTTTATTGCTGTTATTCCCATTCATTTGCTAGCTATGCTTTCGAACGCATAGACGGTCGTGTCAAAGGTCCACTAAGACAAATCGCTATTGATCGATTCAATGCTCGGGATTGTGAAACCTTCATATTTCTTCTCTCAACTCGGGCTGGCGGTGAGGGTATCAATTTGGCCTCAGCCGATACCGTGAGTCTATTTTCTTTACTTGTTACGCACTCCTTGTCTTCCTAAACCAAAAATTTTTCAGCTCCTCTTAACTTCACTTTGACCTGTTTCCATCCTTCGTATTTTCCGTATTTCTGTCATACGACTCTTATCGAGCTTTTTACTGCCTACACACTTGATACATGCCTCAACTCTCGGTACTCAGTGCTAATCAGTATCCCTCTATATTTTTTACACCTCACAGGTTATTCTGTACGACTCCGATTGGAATCCACAGTGTGACCTCCAGGCGCTGTCTAGAGCCCATCGTATCGGTCAGTCACGCCATGTGCTTGTGTACCGTTTCATTACTCGTCATAGCCTAGAGGAACGTATCAACTTAGTGGCCAGACGCAAGCTTGCTCTCACCAACTTGGTCGTGAATCAAAGACAGCAACGGATACAAGAAAAGCTTGCACGCCAGTCGACGCAGGAGAGCGCTCTTGATCCGAACTCGTCCACTTCGGAGGAACCCGCTGACCGATGCGCTACCAGTGCACCGCAAGTTCTCGATGATGGCTCTTGCTCTAAGGAAGATACCAGGTCATCTCTTCCTCCGATTACTTCGACGTCTAATCGGTTGAGTCGAGCAGAAATGGATGACATGCTACGATGCGGCCTGGAAACTTTATTTGCAGTCGAAGATCTGTTGGACGTGAATGACCTACAGAACGCTGCTCGCAGTTCCGGTAGGTTTCATAGTTGCTTTGATTATTGTCAATACTCACAGTTCAACAGGAAAGCTTTGTGGATGAGCTCAGACAGTCTGTTTAAAAGGCAAGGTAGCCTATGGAATGCACCGTGAACGCTTCAAGCAAATGGACTTGTCGGTGCCACCCTATATTCACACAATGTCGAACTACTTGTGATCAAGTCAAGCCAAGATAAGCTTTATGTACTTAAATGAGTGCATTAACAGTATTTTACATTAACAATTACGGTTGTACTAAGTTGGTACAAAAAATGCAACAATTTTTACAAGGATTGGGCGAAAATGAAAAGGGTGTACTGTCATCACTTGGGCCCGGCTTTCCAAAGCAACGGAATCCTCTTGATCTGAGTCCAGTCAACTGGGCAGTTCTATTTTAAAAATTTCTCCAGGACTGATTTCAGTTGACGTAGAAGTTCGTGTCCCAAAACAACAAATAGTTCATAGTGCGCAGTATCACAACATTTCTGTTCTATAGGTGGGTGAAGTAGGACGATCTCAGTGATCTTGAAATTTGTTTAGACAACGGATCTCCGACTATTCTTGCGAAACTGATATATCTACGGTAGATAACGTAGAAATGATGTTCGGCATAAAGGCCACGGCCGATGTAAGGGCCCTGCCAGATTGATTGCACATTGTTAGCAAGGGGCGTCCACCTTGTTCCCTAGCATTTACTCCAGGTTTGCTGAATCCACGATAGATAGAGCAATGGTTTTTGACGGGTATAAAAGCGAATGCTTGCCATGAGGGTAAACATAGTAGAATAAAAACCCGTGTGCGTTAAAGAACGTGTACGACTCACCAAGGGGTTTGGAGTAGCACATAATCGAGCATTCCTGCTGGATTATAGGCGGATTATAATGTTGTCCACTGTTTGTGCACTAATGCCATCACTAATGGTCACGGGCTATATCAAGTAGTATAAGTGTTTCAGAGTATCGTCAAGGTGTTTTTCGGAAAGACATAAAGTAGCAGCATTAATTACATTTGCTGGGATAGCGTTCCAAGGTTGTGACACTCGGAGGAAGAAGAAGTTTCGTCGACATTCCAGTCAGCGGTACTGCGTGACGAGCTTAAACTGATGACCCCTTAGAGATGTGTTTTGACTGTTTCAAAAAAATGGCATATGTGGTTGGAGCTTCTCAATATCTGATACACCAGTGTGAGATTGCTTCTTAGACGCCGGTAACGTCCGCTTTATATTTTGAGGGTTTTCAGTCTGAATGTGTATGGAAGTCGGGACAAACCTCTGACGTTCTTTTTCGCCCTGCGCTGTGCAGTACCGAGCGCGATGAGGTGATGCTTCGGCCAGGGTTGCCACACTTGAGTAGCGTATTCCATATGTTGCCTCACATACGCGCCAAGCATTTTCGGAAAGATTGAAGCGTTGAACTTCCAGAACGCTCTACTAAGAAGGCCGAAGTGTTATTTTGCTTTCTTTGAGGCCTTTTCATTCTGCCTTACACACCCAAGATCTTCTTGCACCAGCACGCCAAGGTCGCACTCATGAGAAGCCCACTGTAGAATTTCTGGTCTAGACGGTAGTTGTGAGTACTCTGTGGTGTTAAAATGCAGCATGTTCTTGATTGGCCATGTGTACGCTTTGTCCTGGTCATCCTGTAGGGCGGTGTGATCCTCCACTGAATCTATAACACGTCATATCTCTAGATCATCTGCGAATAACAGACAGTTTAAAGACAACCGTTACAATGTCATTTATGAAAACCAGGAACAGGCGTGGCCTGAGTACCGAGCCATGAGGTACGCCGCACTGAACTTCGATTGGTTCCTACAGGGTGACATTGAACGAGCAAGTCGGTTACCCAGTCGAGAACAGGATCGCTGATACCATAATTATGGAGTTTGTGCAGTAGAATGCAATAGTCAAACAATTACTTGATGCTCTGGCCACCGCAGAGGATAATCAACGGTGCCCTATCTGCTGCATCGAGCAGGGTGGATAGGGGTTTGGATGCTACTGCTCAAGCCTTCCTGTCTTCTTATTCCCCATCTTACGCTTTTTCACTCTTACCGTCCCGTTCCAACTTCACTTTTATCCCCCCAGTTTTCAACCCCACGATTCTTGGCCCTCCCCCAACATGCTTTGCTAGCCATTTATCTTCTAATTTCAACTCACATGTGAACGCGGAGCGTCACTCCTATCTTGTCGTCAAGCCACTGTCCAATCAAGCGGCCTATTCCAGTTCATCGGCTTGCATTTGGAGCCCTCGATCTTCCTTCAGATTAGCATGCCTCAATGTACCCACATAAATACAGATCGGTCAACAGACAGCACTTGCCTGATCTTTGGAGACCCTCTCGATCAACATCTGCTGCTTATCGGAGACCCGCCTGCAAGACTCGAGCTCTGTGCTCACTCTGCGATCCCCTTCAGGTGACGCAAGCAGTGTTTTCTCATTGCGCCTATCCGGTGACGATGCAGCTTCGAGCACCGGCCAAGCTGGTGTTGGCATTGCCCTGAGTCTCCGGGCTGAAGCTGCTCTGGTTGATTGGATTCCAATCAGTAGCCGGATTTGTGCGGTCCGATTGGCTGGTTCGTTCAAAGCTTCGAAGTCGCGCGGGAGTATGTATCATCGCTGCCTACGCACCCACAAACTGTAGCGATGATTCGGTAATGAACGACTTCTGCCGCCAACTGACCCAGCTCCTTTGCCACAGAAGAAGCACGGACACTGTTGTGCTGGCTGGGGATCTGAACGCGCAAGTTGGCAAGTTGTCCACTGATGTAATGCATTTGGGCGGTCAGCACGGTGTAGGCTCCCGTAATGATAACGGTTAGCGGTTACTTCATTTGTGTGAAGATGCTCGCTTATTTCTTGCAAACACTAACTTCCGACAAGGCACTCACCGGAGGGTGACTTGGCACCCACCAGCCTCGAATTAGCCTTGGATGCAAATCGATCACATTGCTATTAGTTACCGCTGGAGAGGCTGCATCCAGACCTGTCGCTCGATTTGGAGCACATGTGTGGACACTGATCATGCAGTTGTATGTGCTGACATGAGGATGCGTTTTGGCGGACACCCAAGACGACGCTGTGAACGCATTGACACCAGCCAACTGACAAAGCCAGCTGTTCTGAATGCGTATCGAAGTACGCTGTCATGCGAGTTGTGTAAGCGCTCACTGGAGACAATTGATAGTCACTGGTCACATGCTCACCAGACCTTACTAGCAGCAGGCAAATCCTCATGTGGTATGTCTAATAGCCAACATTGACATTGGGTCTCTTCTCGGTCTCTGGAACTTATCGACGCTAGTCAGCATATTCCGGCTGGAAGCGAACACAAGGAAAATCACAAAGAGCTCCGGGCAAGACTTCGTGCTAGCCTGAAGAGAGATCGCTAATCTTGGTGGTCTCACCGTTCGTCAGAGATGGAAGTGGCCGCTGCCCTCGGTAACCATCGTAAGTTAGTCCGTCTGATACGGAGAACAGGCAACTGGAGACCTCGTGTTAGTGAAACTATACGTGACGAGAGTGGACAGCCTATCCACAATTTGTCAAAGCGCTTGGAGCGTTGGGCTGTGCATTTTAAAAAGCAATTTAATCGGTCAGAATTGTTCGATTCTTCGACGGTCAGTGATCGCCTTGCTCCGTGGTCTGTCCCTTTGGATCCACCCTCTCGCTCAGAAGTCGAACGTGAGATCGGACTGTTGAAGTTGAACAAAGCTGCGGGACCAGATGATATTCCTCCAGCCCTCTTCAAATTCGGAGGTTCTGCTCTTGTTGATGCTTTGCATGAATTACTAGTGAAACTGTGGGAGCAGGAGACTGTCCCAATCGACTGGAGCCGCTCCGTTATTGTTCCCATCTTCAAAGGCGGCTCGCGCTCGGAATGCGGCAACCATAGAGGAATCAGTCTGATCTCCATCGCCTCCAAATTACTCGCGTCCATAATTCTCCACAGACTGACTGGCGCTCGTGAAAGCCAGATTCGTGAGGAGCAAGCCGGGTTTCGTCGGGGTCGTGGCTGCATCGACCACATCTTCACCTTGCGTCAGTTGTTGGAGCACCGTCACACATATTGGCGGCCCACCGTAGTCGTGTTCCTCGACATCAAAGATGCGTTCGATTGGGTTGATCGATGTGCCCTTTGGAATTGTCTACTCAGGAAAGGTGTGCCCGAGAAATATGTAAATATTATCCGAGCATTATACGCGCGTAGCACGGGCAGAGTGAGAGCTTACGGCAAGCTGTCGCCACCCTTTAATATCTCCAGCGGTGTGAGCCAAGGATGCCCGCTGTCACCTTTCCTCTTCAACTTCGCTATTGACGAAGTCATGGAGAGTGCATTGACAGGACATGACTTGGAAGGTGTGGAGCTACTCCCAGGAGAACGACTTCTTGATTTGGAGTATGCAGACGATATTGCCTTGATCTGTGACAGCTCCCAACCGTGCCAAGCCGCGCTGGACAGATTAGCACTGACTGTCAGCCGCTTCGGGCTTTGCTTTGCACCATCGAAGTGCAAAGCGTTCCTCCAAGGTTGGCAGGGATCGTCTCCTACGCTGACCCTTGGTGGGGATCAGCTAGAAGTCGTTCAAAAATTCAACTACCTGGGAACTTGTATCAGCGCCTTGGGGATCGAAGACGAGATCATCACGAGATCACGAAGCTCGAAGTGCTTTTGCTAACCTCCGCCACCTATGGCGGCGGCGCGACATTTCTCTCGCCCGGTACGTTCGACCTTACTGTACGGTTGCGAAACCTGGCCCATAAGATCGGCGAACATGAAGAGGCTAGTTACGTTCGACCACCGGTGCGTTCGCAATTTGGCTCACATCTGGTGGGAACACCGCGTGAGTAACGAGCGTGTTTGACGCCTTGTTTACGGCACAGGAAAAGGAACTGAACCGCTCAGCACCGTCATTTCACGCATCAGGGTCCGATGGCCGGGCCACTTGTTGCGCATGCCAGCCCATCGGCTTCCACGACGTGCGTTGTTTGCTTACCG